CAGCCCCTGCAGCAGGGGCGGGGGTTGGTCTTCTGTGTTGCCGTCGAGGCGCAGCAGCAGCAGCAGCAGCTCTGTTTCAGCAGCAGCAGCAGCTGCTGCTGCAGCAGCAGCAGCAGCAACTGCTGCAGCAGCAGCTGCAGCAACAGCAGCAGCAAGAACTGTGTTGATGGGTTTTGTTGCTTCCTTGTCTCCTTTTGCTGCTGTCTGCTGCAGCAGCTCAGCAGCTGTCTCCGCAGCGCTATAAATAACATTACTGTCTCCTTTCTCCTGTCTCCTTTTCTGTCTCCTTTTTTTCTTTTGTCTCTCTCTCTGTCTCCTTTTTTTCTTTTGTCTCTCTCTCTGTCTCTCTTTGTCTCTTTCTCTCTGTCTCTCTCTCTCTCTCTGTCTCCTTTTTTTCTTTTGTCTCTCTCTCTGTCTCCTTTTTTCTTTTGTCTCTCTCTCTGTCTCCTTTTTTCTTTTGTCTCTCTCTCTGTCTCTCTTTGTCTCTTTCTCTCTGTCTCTCTCTCTGTCTCCTTTCTTCTGTCTCCTTTCTTCTGTCTCCTTTCTTCTGTCTCCTTTCTTCTGTCTCCTTTTTTCTTTTGTCTCTCTCTCTGTCTCTGTCTCCTTTTTTTTTTTGTTTCTCTCTCTCTCTGTCTCCTTTTTTTCTTTTGTTTTTCTCTCTGTCTCCTTTCTTCTGTCTCCTTTCTTCTGTCTCCTTTTTTTCTTTCTTGTTTCTGTCTCTGTCTCCTTTTTTTCTTTTGTTTATTTCTCTGTCTCTCTTTGCTTTTGTTTGTCTCCCTTGGTGCTGTGTGTGTCTCCTCTGTCTCTCTCTCTCTTTGTTTTTATTTTTTGTCTCCTTCTCTCTTTGTTTATCTTTATCTGTTTTTCTTTTTCTCTTTTTTTCTCTTTCTGTCTCTCTTTGTCTCTTTCTGTCTCCTTCTGTCTCTCTCTGTCTCTCTTTGTCTCTCTCTGTCTCTTTCTGTCTCTCTCTGTCTCTCTCTGTCTCTCTCTGTCTCTCTATATCTTTCTCTCTGTCTCCTCTCTATTTCTCTCGCTCTCACCTAACTACAACCAGCTGCAGCTA